GTTGTTCTATATGTCACTAAATCTGGGGACTCGAGTATTGCTTGCTAAGCTACTGAAAAATATAGGTAAAGTCAATCTCATCCCAGCAACAATGGTGATAAGAGCTTCTTTGAGTGCTAATCAAGATAAAATCGATTATGACAAAATAAATAATCAATAGTGGTAAGAGAACATATTGCAAAATCAATTTACCATTTCTTGAACTGTTATATCATGTCTGAGTGTGTTCTAAAAAATAGGCGTGCCATATTAATGGAAATTTTGAATTGTTGATAAGGAATGCATACATGAAAAATGTGAAAGGTGACACATAATGAGCAACAATGAAGATATGGAAAGTTAAACCGGGCAATTGAAGTACACAAAATTGGTAACATGACATAGAAGAACGACATACTTACCTGTATGAAACACGCAACGTCAAAGGTTTGCTTGAGAAGATGAATGATGAAAATCAGTTACGGGCTAAGAGGGGTAAACATGATCTATGACCTAACAGAGATGGAGAACATGAGAAGGGAATTAACGTAGGTCGGTAGATGGTAGCCAAAATGATGAAGTTCAACGGTCTGGCTAAGGGGATGTCCTCTTGGATTTTAATTTTAACGGAGGTTACAATTCCATCAGAATCAAGATATTCTCAATTTAGATTTCCATAGAATTGACTGCGTATTAAAATTCAGGTATCCTCAAACATTCTATAGATTTTACTTATTATTGATTTTAATGAACTTTGAAATACTTTGATGGACTTTTAAGCCAAAAATGAATAACCCAATCCACTAACAATCTCATTAGCACCCCTTGAATTTCCAAATCCATTATTTAAAAAATACAGCAACACACGCAACACACGTCTAACTCCCTCCTTCATTACTGCGATCGAAGCTTCTTCCATCTTCCAACCCAATGCTACTCCAGGTAAGAGCCGTTCAATTTTTAAAGGTGCAAATGAAGGAAAACATCAGTAAACGAGGATAAATGGCTCGATGGGCGAATGTTTAACGGAGTGAGATGAGAATATAAAACTATTCCTTAAACGTATAAGGTGTTGGAAAAATGTGTTAAAATTGCATTAAATGGTGATTTTGGGGCAATTATTTGAGTGGGGTCCACTTCCGATTTGGGTCGGGTCAAAGTGGTTTCGGATTGTCCTTGTTAAGGGCTACAATTCGATATATGGTACGCTCAAAACGGATAACGGGTGAATGAGAAATTGATTCTCGAAGTTCACTCGTTGAAATGGAAAAACTAGGAAAATGATGGGTTTATAGTGTGTTTTATCCCACACCGGAAAACTCAAGGGATTTTCACCCGCTTATAAAGGGAAGCCTCTTTTAAGGAGTTAAGATTCCTAAAGGTAAAGGCTCTCTCTTACGCGCAGGGGGGGCTGCCGATCAAATCCCGAAACGGAGAAGAAAAACCACGACCTGCGGACACGAATGTCGTCTGAAAACCTATCATTCAAAGATACGGTCTAATTTTTGCTTCTTCCCGTTACGGGCTCAGTTTTCCGGACCAGAAGACGTGAACAGAGGACCAGAAACCACCTATGGTGGGGTGTTCTGGTGTCTTCCCACCAGAAGGCCAGAGATGACCACCTCTGGTGAGGTATTCTGGTCGCACAAAGAGCATCTCTGTTGGGGTATTCTGGTCACGCATCAGAACTCGTCCAAATCGTTACGGAAGTAAATGCCCAACGTTCTTATCTTTTAATGCTGCGTTAAATGGACAGTTTATGGACGATTCAATGCCCAATGGACTGGTCATTGATGTCCAACGTTCAGGTCCATTAACATATCATTTAACACACAACAAATCCTCCTATAAATGGCTGGCTGGTGGTTTGCAACAAAACAACACACAATACATTCCTCACGTTTTCTTGAGCTAAAAACACTTCCAGCTACTCCGAAATTTCTTAAGTGTTCATACTGTGTTCCAGTTCACCGGAACTTTCGTTTGTGTGCTCAAACGATCATTCGTTAGCCACTGTATCCTGGGAAATGGTCGTTGCAACGCTCCTAGCACCGTGGGAGGCGACGAATACGTTTTAAGGACATCGTCTATGTGAAAAGGTGTAGATGACCTTCCTATCAATATTTAAAAGTGTGGGGGTGTCTGGCAAAGGTGCTTGTACCAAAACCTAAGAAAATAAAAATAGGTCCAAAAATGGTGGATTGTATTTTTATTGGATATGCACAAAATAGTAGTGCCTATCGGTTTTTAGTGTACGATTCGAATAATCCGGATGTACATAAAAACACAATAATTGAATCAAGGAATGCTTCATTCTTTGAAGACGTATTTCCATGCAAGTCCAACGAAGGACCAAGCACATCAAAACGAACATTTGACGTAGCTATGGAAATTACTAGCGAGGGCTCCGGAGAAGAACCTGAACCCAGACGTAGCAAACATGCTAGAGTTGAAAAATCCTTCGGACCGGATTTTCTCACCTATTTGGTAGAATTTGACTCGGATATTCTAACATGTATGGTAGAAAATGAACCGGATTTTCTAACATGTTTGGTAGAAAATGAACCACGGGCTTATACGGAAGCCGTGACGTCTACCGAAGGTCCTATATGGAAAGAAGCCATCAAAAGTGAGATGGATTATATCCTTAAAAATCACACATGGGAATTGGTTGATCTTCCTCCGGGAAATAAACCTTTGGGATCCAAGTGGATTTTTAAACGGAAAATGAAACCTGACGGTTCCATCGATAAGTACAAGGCCAGACTTGTAATCAAAGGATACAAGCAACGTGAGGGTCATGATTACTTTGACACGTATTCTCCTGTGACGAGAATAAATTCCATTAGGATGATCCTAGCATTTGCCGCATTGCGGAAATTGGAAGTTCATCAAATGGACGTAAAAACCGCTTTTCTAAATGGCGATATAGACGAAGAAATCTATATGGAACAGCCTGAGGGCTTTCGTGTTCCAGGCCAAGAAAGGAAAGTGTGTAAATTAATTAAATCATTGTATGGATTGAAACAAGCCCCTAAACAGCGGCACGAAAAGTTCGATCATGCAATGTTAATTAATGGGTTTAAAATAAACGAAAGTGACAAATGCGTCTATGTGAAGAGCACGGTAGACGGCTATGTCATTTTATGTTTATACGTGGATGATATACTCATCGTGGGTAGCAATAATCTAATGATTAATTCTACCAAAAGCATGTTAAATTCTAAATTTGACATGAAGGATATGGGGCTGGCTGATTTAATCCTTGGGATTAAAATAATTAGGGGACCAGACGGTCTTACGCTAAGCCAATCCCATTACATTGATAAAATCCTTACGAAATTTAATAAGGATGATTATCAAGAGGCAAGGACTCCATTAGATAAAAACTTATAACTTACCAAAAATCGTGGAGAGTGTATTTCTCAAGTAGAATACGCTAGGATTATTGGAAGCTTGATGTATCTAATGAGTTGTATCAGACCTGATATTTGCCTTTGTGGTTAGTAAGCTAAGTAGATATACTAGCAACCCCGGTGATGAACACTGGAAGGCAATAGTAAGGGTTTTGAGGTATTTACGTAAAACCCAAAATCTTGGACTGCACTATGGAAGATATCCAACTGTACTTGAAGGGTATAGCGACGCTAGTTAGATATCTGACATAAAGGACTCTAAGTCCACAAGTGGATATGTTTTCACTTTGGGAGGTGCAGCCGTGTCATGGAAATCCTCAAAACAAACGTTAATAGCTAGATCCACGATGGAGTCTGAGCTAATAGCCTTGGATAAGTGCACTGAAGAGGCTGAATGGCTACGCCATTTTCTCGAGGATATACCAAGTTGGGAAAAGTTTGTCCCTCTAATATGCATACATTGCGATTGTTAAGTGGCAATTGGAAGGGTACAGAGCAATATGTACAATGGTAAGTCTAGACACGTTCGTCGTAGACATAACACCATTAAACAACTCCTCACAACGGGTGTTATCACTATTGACTACGTGAAGTCAAAGGATAACATAGTGGATCCGCTAACGGAGAAGAAAAACCGCGACCTGCGGACACGAATGTCGTCTGAAAACCTATCTTCCCGTTACGGGCTCAGCTTTCTGGACCAGAAGACGTGAGCGTCTCTGGTGGCTTCCGAACAGAGGACCAGAAACCACCTATGGTGGGGTGTTCTGGTGTCTTCCCACCAGAAGGCCAGAGATGACCACCTCTGGTGAGGTATTCTGGTCGCACAAAGAGCATCTCTGTTGGGGTATTCTGATCACGCATCAGAACTCCTCCAAACCGTTACGGAAGTAAATGCCCAACGTTCTTATCTTTTAATGCTGCGTTAAATGGACAGTTTATGGACGATTCAATGCCCAACGGACTGGTCATTGATGTCCAACGTTCAAGTCCATTAACACCTCATTTAACACACAACAAATTCTCCTATAAATGGCTGGCAGGTGGTTTGCAACAAAACAACACACAATACATTCCTCATGTTTTTTGAGCTAAAACACTTCCAGCTACTTCGAAATTTCCTAAGTGTTCACACTGTGTTCCAGTTCGCCGGAACTTTCGTTTGTGTGCTCAAACGATCGTTTGTTAGCCACTGTATCCCGGGAAACGGTCATTGCAACGCTCCTAGCACCGTGGGAGGTGACGAATACGTTTTAAGGACATCGTGCGTAGCACGAGCTCTGGCTAAAATCTGCTCTATCTTATTTTCTGTTTTCTTTTAGCTATTTTATTTATTAATTAATTTTATTTAATTAATATTTTTTCGTTTTTTCCGAAACACACCCATCATAAGGTTGAAGTAACAATGTTTGCAACCCATTTTTCAAAAAAAATTTACTTTGCACCCATTTCACTTAGAAATTCTTTGACTTTTCACTTCATTTAGAAATTTTTCTTCACAAAATGTTATATTATGAGGTGCAAAGTCAAAGTTTTTTCGAATGCAAAGTTCAATATTATTCCGTACGATATTTCCCTTTGGCCACACCCTGTGAAAATTCTAGTTTGCGGTGGAAACTCACATTCTTTCTCCCTACTTATTACTGCCTACCTATGTGGCCACCCGGTTAAAATTCATATTCAGTGCACATGTCCGCGTGCTGGTTTGCAGGAAAAAATGGCGAGGGGTATAAATGTAATTTGGCCTCTTGTACTCATCATCCTCGTATCGAGCTCGTGCCGGAGAGCGACCAGTTTCACTCAGGCAATTTCTAAAACAGAAGGGGGAGCTTCGATGCACGGAGGACGTAGCAGGAAGAGGCCGACTTTAGAATTGAAAGGCGGACGAGATGATGTGGCCTGGGTGGTTCAGCTCTCTGATCTCCACTTTAGCGTACATTATCCCGAAAGAGCTCATGACTTCAAGGCCATCGTAGGCCCTACTCTCGCCATGGTCAACCCTTCCTTGGTCTTTATCACTGGTGACCTGACTGGTAACTATCTTCCATTCATCACATCTCAGGGGTGTTTGGATCTGATTCTTAGAACTGATTCTCAGAAGCAGAATTTGGGGTGTTTGGGTGATTCTGGTGCCTAATTTATTTAATCAGTTTTTTTTAGAAGCTGGGGCTGAAAACTGTCTTCTGAAAACTGCTTCTGCTTTAAAGAAGAAAGAAGTAGAATCAGAATTAGTTCCAAACACCCGCTCAATCGTTTATCTTTGTATACTTTTATTATTTTAAAGTTTATGAATTCACTCTTGTTAAGTATATATTCCATAAAGATATGAATGATCTTGATAGCTTTACAGCTTCTTGAGCATTTTAAGTTTGATCCCGAGATATAAAAGAACTTCTAATTAGAATGCTAGTCTAATAAAGTATGACAAAATACATTGTATTACTACTAAGCCTTTTGGCCTCTAGCCCAATTGGGTCATGTAGCAATATATACACTAATATCTGGAGGGAGAAATTTAACAGATGCCCTAGTGGAGAATTAATTGGTTGGGGTGATTGGCTCCCAATGAATTAGTAAAATATCAGCAATTTGATTAGGGTGAGCAATATGAGTTGCTCGAATTAGATTTAGAATGGGTAAAAGAAACACATCACTAACTTGACAACCATGAGAAGTGCCCATCTTGAAAGTAATTTGTTGAATTGTTATAGTTTAGTGAAAAGATCATCAAGTTGGACAAATGACTCCTGGTGATTGATTCGACAAGTGACATAACAACCCGCTCAACCAAATTTAAAATTCAATTATTCGTGTACAATAAACAGGTTTAACGTGATAATTAACGGTTTTAATTGCATTCTTATCATTTTGATTAGCGGGATTATGATGTGAATGGGTGATTGGTGATTAAAAGTTTTTCTTTTTTTGCGGGGTAAGCATTTAATTAACAATTACATTATTCATGACAACCAGGATGACAGATGACACTATTTTAAGTACTAGCAGCAGAAAATTTCACATCATGAAATCTAAGAATGGAGACAGAAAAAATTGGGCTTTTCCAAGGAGGAAAGAATTACCGGGATTAACTTGACAATTAGTAATGATTAGAAATTGGCCTATAATTTGTACTACCTCCATCCCGCCTTAAACTTCTCATTGAAAAAGGGCACAATTATTTAGACAATAATTAAAATAAGGTTATTCGGGTATATTTTGAGAATTAGTTTTGATGGGTATATAATATAATGAGGTCATAGAGAAATAGGAAGCTTTAGTTGGGACATCCAAAAGAGGCAAGTGAGATGCTTAAGCTGGGATGGAGGAAGTAGTTTAGTTAGTGTTATCACTGGTTTGCTTATTGAATTGTTTAGTGAGATGATTAGCAAATCAGTGATTTTGGTCATCGGTAAAATAAGGGATAACGAACAATAGTTTTTGCAAAGGATGGAATAATTTCACACACATCTTAAAAGGGAAAAGTTACTGTGGTTTACAAGATGACTAGCGATCTTTTGTCAGGGATAGAGACTCAGCGTTGTAAATTCAATTACGTTATCCATCAGAAAAAGTTAATGAACAATATCTTATAAGAGTAAAATGTTAGTAGGATGGAATAATTTAACACTAAAATTTGAGAACGGAGGCAGTCAGAAACGAGGAAATGGTCATGAAGCCTATGAACAGCACCAAAGTGCGTATCACCGTAAGTTTGCCTGTAGGAAATGGTGTTTAGAAAAAATAGGATGAAACATAATCATTATAACTCTGTTTTGTTTAGTATTGAACTTTTTGCGATTAATTATTTGCAAAGAATTGAAAGGGTTTTGAGAAATACTAGTATATTTTGAATACCTTTGTTTTAGCAGAGGATAGAATTTGGGATCAATTTGGTTTTATTGTTTGTGGGAAAAGTTGGAATTTTGATATTTGAGATTTAGGGGTTGGTTATTCCATGATATGGAGGAAGATATTTTGTTGGGTGTAAAAAAAAGTTTTTGTAAAAAATGCAGTTGTTTGGCACTTAGGCTTTGCTCTCTATGATGAAAGAAAGTATTTTTTTCGGCTTGTTTGGAAATTCGAAAACAAAATGAGAAAAAATTGTTTTTGGCTGTGAAGCTTCCGAATAAGTTTAGGAAGAATGAAAAAGCAGAGGATCTTTGAGGCTGTTTATATCATGTGAGAATTAGAAAATAATAGCGAAGGTTTCTGATAGGTAACAGAAGAATCCAAGTAGAAAGTAGTAGTATATTAATGAAGATTTAGTGAGGGAATACAGAAAGTACGAAAGAAAATGTTTGAGACTCTTCGAGTGGTCTCTCACTCCCAATATCCCAGTCCCGATCCCAAGTTCTGCCTTCCCATCTACTCACCACTCACCCTTATTTATTCTATTTCTAATGGGCCAGTCAAGGCCAACTACTACCAGGCCCAGGGGCCAGGACCCTCTATTACACTATCACACTTAATTATTATTATTCTCGTAAGCCCATTATCCTAACATATCTCCCCCGTTGGACAACCACCTTGTCCTCAAGGTGGGTGATATTAAACAGCCTTGATTTTTAGGTTCACCTTCATTCTTGCGCCTCTCCCTTCCCAGTACTTCACTGCTTTCTGGACCCATAGCATGGTTGTCGATGGCGCAATATGGCGCGCGCGCCATGCGCCATGAGGTGCGAAATACCCTATGCGCCATGAAAACGGGCTGTGGCGAGATGTATACACATGGCGTCGCCATGTCTGCGCCTTCGCCATTCCTGCGCCTTCGCCATGGCGCTGCGACTGGTTTTTTAAAAAATGGGTCCGCTTTTTGAGCTGTGAGTTGTGGAGTTTTGGGCCATAACAATCTATTTTAGCCCATAACAACAATAAAACTCTAACATAATCTTACTATTTTAGCCCATAATACTAACAACAACCCTAACTACAAATAAATAAACACAACAAAGTGATAACACGTGAGAAAAAAGCTGCTGCAAGCCTGCAACGGAAAAAAGCTCTGCGACAACCGAAAAGGCAAACGACAAGGGGATTCTGTTGACTTCTTCCAACTACAAAAGGTACTACTACCTCTTTAATGCTGTGTATTAATGAAGAAAAGTTCAGTTAATGCTGTGTACTCAACTTTACTGTGAATGGTCTAAACTTAAATGTGCATGCCTGGATGGATTAACTAAAACAGAGACTTTCTATGGTATATATATTATGTAAAGTTTAAACTTAAAGATAAAGTGTTTATGAATGTATAACATAAAGTTAATTAATGTTTAAACTTTATATTTTGAGTTTAAACTAAACTTTACAGTTTATACTAAAGTTTTAATATGTAAACTTATTAAAGTTTTAATAAGTTTTAATATGTAAACTTATTTTGAGTTTATATTATGTAAAGTTTAAACTTAAAGATAAAGTGTTTATGAATGTTAAAACTAAACTTTTGAGTTTACACTGTAAGATGCTTTAATAGTTTGCTTTATGTGTAATTGTCTATCAATTTATAATAGTTGAGAGTTGAGATTTTAAATACTCATACTGTTGGCAGAGGTAACATTGATCATTTTTATTTTAATTTACATTAGATGATGCTCATTGATATTTTTTATCTTAGGTAACCGAAGAGGCAGAGCAAAGGATGTCAGTTGCCTTTGCTAAGGAGCTGTGTCAGAAAGTGAAAGAAAACAACAACAATGAATTGCGCTGCAGCTACTGTGGGCACGTGACGAAAGGTGGAATTACAAGGTTTAAACAACACTTGACTGGGAAGCACCGCAACACAACACAGTGTGAACGCATTCCCGCTGATAAGAAGGCTGAACTGCAGGCGTTAGTCTTGAAAGAATCTGCTGCTAACTTAGAAAAAAATGTGTGTGAACAAACCTTTCGAAGTACATACACAGTACAGCAGTCCGGTGGGTCAAGTGCAAATAGGGTGATCGGAGATGATGATGTTGAGATAACTGGTTCTCAGTCAAATGCAGAGGGAGGTGGTCAAATGCAGAGGGAGGTGGTGTGACTGGGCCTATGGATAATTTCGTATATCCAACAAAAAAATGTAAGAAGGAGGCATTGACGCAAACAACAATCCCATCACACATGAAGAAAAAAGAGAGGGATGAGTATGCTCAAAGCCTTTGTTTGTGGATGTACAGGAACTGCATCGCCTTTAATGTAGCTCGTGACCCTTTGTGGAAAGAAACACTAGAAAAGATTGGCAGGTTTGGAGCTGGGTTTAAAGCACCAACGTATCATGAAGTGAGAGAGACGTTCTTGCGAAAAGAGGTCGCAAAAACAGATCTTGTGGTTAGTGAGCACAAAAAATTATGGGAATTAGATGGCTGCACTATTATGTCAGATGGGTGGCAAGATAAACGGCATAGAACTCTAGTGAACTTTTGCGTGAATTCTAGCAAAGGGACGGTGTTTATGAAAGCCGTAGATGCTTCATCTTACAAGAAGACCGGGGAAGCACTTTTCAAGCTTTTCGATGAGTGGATAAAAGAAATAGGTCCTCAAAGTGTCATACAAGTTGTAACCGACAATGCTAAAAATTATGGATTAGCGAAGAGGAAGATAGAATAAAGATATCCACATATCTTCACGACGGGGTGTGCAACTCACTGTCTTGACCTTGTTCTAGAAGACTTTTCAAAGAAGATGCCGATAGTTAGAAGAACTGTGAAGACGGCACAAGGGATTACTACCTACATCTACAGCCATACCCTTATTCATGACTTAATGAAAGAATTTACCAAGGGTAGAGAGTTAGTTAGACCAGCTGCCACACAGTTTGCCACTAACTTTCTGACTCTTCAAAGTCTTCTCACGCAGAAACAGGCATTGAGGCAGATGTTTGCTTCACCGAAATGGTATCAAAGTGAGTTTGCAAAAACTACGGAAGGTCAATCTTGTTTTGAGTCAATTTATCGTCAAAGCTTTTGGAGGAGTGTTGCCTATGTTATGAAGATTTCATTGCCAGTAGTGAAGGTATTGAGAATTACGGATGGAGAGTTGCCTGCAATGGGCTTTATTTATGAGGCTATGGAGAGAGCAAAATTGGGAATAAAAAACACATTGGGAGGTAAAGAAGAGAAATACATGCCTCTTTGGAAGATAATAGATAAGCGTTGGAATGAGAACCTGCATTCTCCATTACATGCAGCGGGGTATTATCTCAATCCTCAATTCTTCTACCCTAATTCACGGCGAATCCTCGGAGATGAAGAAGTATGCGATGGCTTTATAAAGTGTGTGGAGAAGATGTTGCCCACTAGCATTGGAGAGAGTGTAGAGTTCTCAACTGAGATATCAAACTATACAAATGGTAGAGGAAGTTTCAGAACTAAAATGGCAATGAACAATAGGGACAAACAACCACCGGGTATGCAAACTGTAATCTGTCTTCTCTTTCTTATTTAAGTATTTTAATTAACTTTCTGCTAGAACTAATTTTGTAGGTTTATAGATACTGGATTTAAACTTTTTGGAAACTGGAAAGTCCTAAACTGCAACCTACTATCCTACAACCTACTGTCTGGATAATGGAATCTGAAAAACTTAAATGTTAAATCTGAATATTTTAAGCATGAATGTATGATTACTTGATTAGTAAATTATTTTAAGTACCAAATGTGAGTGACTAAGTGTTAAATGATGGCTAGCACTTGCTGTAGCCTGTAATTGACTGCAAGATTGGAATGGAAAGCTGAAATTTTAAATCCTGAAATCTGAGTATTGTTTTCTACATTATTAATTAGCATTTGGTTGGAATTTTTAAATATAGTTGACTGGTGGCTTTCAAATGGCTCCTCGTCTCCTACATTGCAACATCTTGCTGTTCGGATCCTTAGTTTAACTTGCAGTGCTTCTGGATGTGAACGAAACTGGAGTGCTTTTGAAAATGTAAGTTCATAAATCTGCCTTTCATATTTAATTCAACTATTTAAGTTATCCGTAGTTGATTTGTTATCTACTTGTTTTAGGTTCAAAGCAAGAAAAGGACAAGGTTGCTGCAAAAAAAAATGAATGATTTGGTATACATTCGGCAGAATCAACGTCTTCAAGATCCAGCTTTCAAAAAAATGAAAGTATGTTTGGATGACATTGACGATTGCAATGAATGGATTGATGAAGCTGCTGAGCAAAATGAAATGGAAAACTGGGATGTAGTGGAAGAAGTTGTTGGTGTTAATGAAGCAAATCACAACACAAGAGCAACAACATCAAGGGCATCAACACTTCAGCTGCACGACGAAGAGGAGACCGAGGAGGCGGAGGAAATGGAGGAAACGGACGAGGTTGCAGATCCCTCCGAGGATGAAATGAATGAGGATGGTGTGCCATTGCTATCAGATTCAGACGAAGATGATGAAGAGTCTGATTATTGATGATGATTATGCCATAATCATCAAACAAAAACAAGCTAACAAGCCTAAATCCTAACATATTTTGCAAGACATAAACTTTTTTTTTGAATTTTATGTTTTTTGGAAGAACTTTGAACTATTTTATCATGTTTTGGTGGTTGGGTAAACTTGGGTAAACTTTATCTATTATTCGTTTTGATTTTTTTTTTGTCACGTGGCGACGCCATATTTGCGCCATCGCCATCGCCATGGAAAATGACCTGTGCGCCATGGGTTGCGCCATGCGCCATGACAACCATGACCCATAGCTTCCTGATTTGAACTTTCATCATCACTCCTTCAATAACCAGAGAGAGCATAGCAAGAAAGAGTAGAGGCAAGGACTTTGTTGCATCCTGCTCCACAATGTTGCAGAGGTAAAGATCTTCTAGCAACTGCATCTATGGCCCAACTTCCCACCACTTTATGCTGTATTTCTTGAAATTTTTCTCTGCAGCTTCAGCAACTGACCCTTCGAGCAAAGCATGAGTTGAAAGTGAGCTGGCATCGGCCTCAACATTTTCTGCCCCTTCCGGAATATCTGGTGGACGTCCTGTGGGTTGAATATCGTCATCGTTCATCTCCCTAAACGTGTAATGAATGCCATAAATAGCAGAGAATGTGGGTAGGTTTGACTTCCTTTTTAATATAGAAGATAAGTGTTTGTTCTCCAGCTCCCATACCATAGGGTCTTCCATGTTGTTCCCTCCAACTGCTTTCAGCATACCATCTGTGGTCCCCATAGTTAAGAACTGTTGAATAGGGTCAAAATGATTCCAGTACATCACACCACCACCAAAGTGCTGATTATAATCCATACCAAGACAACCAGAGACCTCTAATTCGTCTTCTGTGATATGATAGTGGTGCAGTACTTTTTCAGCATCACTATTGTTAGCTACTTTCATAAGATCAGAATTATAGCAGTGAATATAGCTCAAACTATCAAACCCCTCAGAGGAATTATTTTGATTTTGCATTTCAATTTTGTCCTCCTTTTTCTCAGACTTTGATTCATCCTCTTCCATTTCCTCAGTTTCCTCTACCTCTACACAGACAGTCTCTCTAGAGCTTTCCCAAGTATTTGAAACAACAAAATTATCAACAGCAGATTCATATTCCCTGGTAACCAAGGATTGAGTCATCACAGAGGATTTTTCCTCTCGTCCCTCATCACAGTAGATGAACGTACCTTCAGAGAGTTTTCTGCGGATTGCCTGACTCTTGTGACACGTACAGCAACGACGACGTGGAGGCTTCTCCTTCCAATCGCATCGTACCTTGAAGTGAACTGCTAGGGTAGGATGAAGTCTGCGAACTGATGGTGTCTCCTCTGTCTGGAGTGATATTAGGGTTCGCATAGGGATTTCGCAGCGATTTGGAGTCTCCTTCTGATAGCCTCACACTTTGATTCGAGATGATAGTAGATGAAGAGACCCGCGAACAAGGGAGATCTATTTGCGAAGAAACTTGTTGACAGGAAGATGCTGTTCGCGACAAAGCTGAAGAGGCTTGCGAAGACATCTGCGGACCGGTAGAATCAGCTAGCGACTGTGAAGAGAGCTACGCTAGCGAAGGTGTCTGCGAACTACGCGAAGCAGTTGGCGATTGCGAACTAGGAGGAGCGACGGACGGAAACACCTGATTTTCGATTGGCCGACGGTGTCTAGGTGGACTCCTAGCTCTGTCTCTATGTCGCCTCTGACGGTGACGAAGTTTGCACAGCATATAGCGCAACTCCTTCCACTGACTGTCGCTATTGTCCATCTTCTTCTTCAACTGTCGTTGAAACTGACGATCGATTCAGGCTCCAGGAAGGATGCTTTGATACCAATGATAGGTAACGGAAGAATCCAAGTAGAAAGTAGTAGTATATTAATGAAGATTTAGTGAGGGAATACAGAAAGTACGAAAGAAAATGTTTGAGACTCTTTGAGTGGTCTCTCACTCCCAATATCCCAGTCCCGATTCCAAGTTCTGCCTTCCCATCTACTCACCACTCACCCTTATTTATTCTATTTCTAATGGGCCAGTCAAGGCCAACTACTACCAGGCCCAGGACCCTCTATTACACTATCACACTTAATTATTATTATTCTCGTAAGCCCATTATCCTAACAGTTTCCATTTTGCAATTACTATTGACTTCAAAGGTGAGGTGTATGGTGGAAGGTTTCCATTTTGCAATTATACAAATAAAAGAAACTTTTGGCAAAGGGGGCAGGGGGTTTGGAGGATCACGCAGCCCGTTGCATTCATTATCAAGTTGCTGGATTGTCTAATCTTAAACCACAACTTTGAGAATCTGGGGTGTATTGATTCATCCTTCTTGAAAACATGATAGCCAAATATAGGGAGTGGCTTGATGATGATGAAGAAAAGACACTAGGGTGCAGATATGTTATTGGGTAAAGTTCTAGGCTACGTAGCAAGGAAACTCTCGGGAAAGAGTACATTTCCGTTTCAGAAACTCTTTGGAAACTCTCCAAACAAGTTTTTTTGAGCAAAAGTTGACGTTTCCCGTTTCTCGTTTCCTCATGATTTTCGCGTTTCCGTGCAACATAGGTTCTAGGATGCTACAACTTTGTAGTGGCACGCAAGTATACCAAAGAAACCATGAAATAAGGGCTATTTTCATGCAATGTTGAGAGGGTATATTATCAATGAGATTTTCTTTTAGCAACATTCTTCGTGGACATTTATGTATTCTTCTAGCCATATACACTTTCAACAAAATTTTCAAATTCTTGACAGGGAAATAGTGCCTGGGCCTTTAAATGGTTATGAATTATTGGGTTTGTTTCAAAATCTATGAAGTGTGTGGTCTCTTATATAACTATGGATGCATCGATCAAAACATCAATGCATTTGCACTTCAAACTACAGTTACACCAAATGTTCTTAATCTTTCTTGATTTCTTCTAGATGGGAAAAGCAAAGATTTATTAACAATGAAGCAGGATGAAGCAGAGTGGGTAGAATATCAGAAAGTAATGGACGATGTCATTGAAAGAAGTGGGCTAAAGAGGAGCAATTTCTATGATCTCAGAGGAAACCATGATAGTTTCGGTGTACCAAACATTGGGGGTTCATTTGATTTTTACTCTAAATATAGCATCAATGGGCAGCTAGGAAGAGGAGGACCAGTTAACAGTGTCTCACTGGAGGTTTGCTATTTTTTTATTGTCTGTTTTTGCTGGTTTTAGCTACCCTAAGGAAGCCAAGAAGTAAAACCGGAAAGATGATGGTGATACTAATAGATGTTTTAGAAGAAGAATGAAAGTAGAAGGCCTTTATCATTTCTGCTGGCCTTTTTCTTTTCTTTGCATTATGTTGCTAATCTGACTAAATTTTTGGTCCTCCATTCTTTCATAACATGGATGCCTAAGAAACAAAGCTGTTAGTGTAAATTATGTTCTACATTGGCCGAAGTGATATATTTCCATCATTTCCCATGGAGCCAAAGACTCACTATTTTTTTGGCTTGTGAATATGATGGAGTAAAGCAAAATGGCTCACGAAACTGTTTGCGCTTCTTGGTTATGAAGCAACTGTCAGTCCATGCAATTTTCGACGCGATTTTCATCATGGGTCATCCGAAAACAACCTCTCTATGCTTTATTACAGGGGTAAGGCTGCATACATCCGACCCCCCTTACCCCACCGTAGGTGGGAGCCTTTACGACACTGGGGTAATGTTGTTGTATTGGCTGGAGTATGATTCTCAGTTTTTAATTTATTATATTTTGGGATGTCAAAAGGAAGGGTAACCCAATGTTAAATATATTGGTTTGAATAGGAGAAGCTGATAGAAGTAGGCAAATGAAAACTGAATCACGTTGTTATTTGGGGGATGTTTTGAATTGATTATGCTTCTGCTTCTTTTTTAAAAGCAGAATCAGAATCAGTTTTTAAGTAGCTAAGTAGCTGGTCTCACTCACCTTCTAAAAATTGCTTCTAGGAGCAATTTGGAGCACCTTGAAGTACTTCTACACTGTCACCCAAACACTCCAATATCTACTTCTACTCTCTGATGAAACAAAAGCAGTTTTAAGAAGTAGATCCAAACACCCCCTTGTAATGCTGGAGTTATCATCCACTTATCCCTATTCATGTTAGTAACTGGCCTTCAGTGATAAATGCAACATACCAATATACCATCAAGAACATTTAGTCAATTTTACAATATTGTGGGACTAGTTGGTAAATCTCCATTTCTTATATCTGTAAATTTTTGAACAGTAAAAGTACAACTGCACAACAGCCATCTAAAGAAGAATTCTTCCTTTCTGGCTTTTGGCTTCTTTATGGGTTCTGCTCAGTAATTGGTTTTTTATATTTGCGCAAATGTTTTCACATTCATTTAGTGCATATATTGATTAGATTCTAGTAGTAATTCCAGCAAGTACTAGTTTCAGCATTTTCTACTTGCTTAATGCTTTCGTATTGGTTCAGACTGGCGGGCACAATCTACTTTTTGTCGAGTTCGACAGCTCCACATCTTTAGGATTACGGGGTCCAACAAATTTGTTTGGCCATCCAAATGACCAATTGCTAACCGATATAAGCTCTGAGCTTTCACAAATTGATCCTCTACCTAGAAAACCTGTCATTAAAATTTCTCTCGGCCACTTTCCACTCTCCTTTTCTGCAGCGGCTTCTTCCGGAAGGACTCTAAAGGACATATTTCTGACGCACTCCTTGTCAGCTTACTTGTGTGGGCATCTCCATACAAGGTTCGGAGATAATTTGAAGCGGCATCATGAATCAAATCACCAACAATTCTTTCAGTTGAATGGACAAGGGTTACCTGTTGAAACACCTAATGAGTTTTCTCTCAAGGGAAGAGATGAATTTTGGGAGTGGGAAGTAGGTGATTGGAGGAAGAGTAGAGCTATGCGCATTTTGGCCATTGATAGAGGTTGGATTTCATTTGTAGACGTTGACTTCAGATCCGGGGCAAAGAAAACAATCATATTGCCTACATTTCCCCTTGATTCTCGCTTTATCTTTGACAAGCAGTTTCAGAGGAATGAATCTCTGTATGTGGACCCTCTACTTTATAGTGAAATCAGAGTTCTCTTGTTTTCCTCTTCTCCAATTGTATCTGTTGTAGCCAGGATTTATGACTCGAGGTCTGGTAATCTCATTGTTGTATTTGAGTCTCCTATGAAGAAAACTGGGAATGCCCTATCCAGGGGAGACCTGTATACTTGTCCATGGAACTTTAAAGCCTTTGAAGATCCATCTCCTGAGCGATTCTTGTTGAAAATTGAAGCGCTTGATTTTAGTGGCCACTCAACATTGACTGAACTACGGCCTTTTTCCATTAGTGGTCGGCGAGCAAAGCTCGGATGGAGTTGGAAAGAGTTTTTCGTTATGGGTTGTCAATGGGATGCTTTATATTACCCCATCTTGTGGTCCTTTTACTTTTTTTCCCTATCCATTCTTCTGATTCCAAAAGCTGCCTTAGTATTTTTCAGAAAACAATATACATATAAAAAACTGATCACCAACAGAGGATTATTAAACTACACAACCCGGATTCTTGTGGACATATACAGTGTTCCTCGGCTGTGGTATTGCATGGTCAGTTACTTGTTTTACCTCATATTATGTCCTTGGCTTTGTGGCCAAGTTCTCATGGAAGGAGAAAGAGGATACATGACATATCGAGGTTGGATATTGAGATCCAATCCAAATGAAAAGCCAAGCGTTTTTGGGTTTCCAGATGTAATGGTGGTTGTGCTTCCACATCTTTGTTTTGTTGTTTTGCCTGCAATCTTGGTGATGGTAGCATTTTTGGTTGAAAGAGGATTATACCAAGATTCTCTTCGGTCACTTTCTGGAAAAAAAGATGATTCTGATGTGAAGAGTAATGAGATATCTTCATCTACATGTGGAAGAGGTGACTATAGACTCGTACTTCTCCGTGTGCGGTCGATTAGGAAGATAGTACTGATTATAAGTCTGGCAATATGTTGGAATCATTTTCTGGTAAGCTGTTTTCCTCATTTTTCTAGACTTTTTGAGATTCTTTTTTTAATTTTTTTTGTAAATATGGTTTGTTTGGATGATCCCTCAATCAAATTAACATTTACACTGAATCAAGTTAAGAACAAACCCGGGTTGAAGTCCAATGTCAATATAATTTGATACTCTGCTTCAATTCGTTTTGAAATGTCAAGATATAGGCACATAGTACTTTCCTTGACCCTTTTTAGATGGAATTGCATTCTGGTTAGCATCTCTGTAGTATAGAAATTAGAAACTAATGGAATCCATGGAGCAAGAGTGCAAGACTAGTACAGGATGTTTTTGTTCTTTTCAGTTTCTTAGGGTTCTCTAGATAATTTCCCTCTTTTATATTCACAATTCATATTATTTTTTATTTTGAAAATATATGATTTTTTATGGATCAACCAAGAGTTGCCATTCGTCCATATTAACCTTTTTTGTTTTTTTTTCTGATACAGAATTGCAGAGATCTTTGTAAAGCGTATGACATGAATCCATTTATCCATTTCCCAATTTATAGCATGTCGGTACCTCTTCTGTTGGCTTACACCATCTACAGAACTAGCAGAATTTGAGCGGAAAGTCGTGTAATTAAGAGGTTTGTCAAGTTTCTGCTGAATATAGTTTGTTTTTCTTGTTATCCAACGATCAAATTTTCTTGTTTATCACTTGTTCAAAGATGCCTATGATAAGCATATCATCATTATCATTACCCCAGTGCCGCAAAGGCTCCCACCTATAGTGGGGTAAGGGGGGGTCGGATGTACGCCTATGATAAGCATATGCATAAGTATTTTCCTATCTGAGCTCAAACAGTATAAACAATCACTTTGCTGCCTGGGATTGCCAAATGCCAATTCTTCAAACAAACCTAACATTCGTTTGTCTATGTAGGGTATGTTTGACATAGACTATGTTTGGCAGGCATAAGTCTCTGCTTTCTAGCTTTTGTACTGTTCAAAAAGTCTCTATAAACTTCTAGTTTTATGTTTGGCATGACAATTTTTAAGAGCTTTTCAAAAATAAAAAGATCTTTTTTGAGCTGAAAAAAGCCCGTGACTTTTAGTATTATGGTATGTTTGGCACAACTAGCTTAAAAGATACTTTTATGAGCTTTTTAATAACTTTTAGCTTTTACTGACTGAAAACATCTTAAAAAGAAAGTTGGTAGTTGTTTGGTAAAAAGCCGACTGTTTGATTTAGTTCAGTTTGATATACAAGCTGTTAGGATTAATTAATACTAAAAGTCACGGGCTTTTCCCAGATGCTACTCCCTGTAACATCTCAAAAAAGACCTTTTAATTTTTGAAAAGCTCTTAAAAATTGTCATGCTAAACATACAACTACAAACTTTTAGAGACTTTTTGAACAGTACAAAAGCTAGAAGGCAGAGACTTATGCCTGCCAAACATAGCCTTAATTAGTTCTAACAACTTGTATAGCAAATCGAACTAAATCAAACAGCCAGCTTTTTACCAAACAGCTATCACCTTTTCTCTTTAAGATCTTCTCAGTCACTAAAAGCTAACAGTTATTAAAAAGCTCACAAAAGTATCTTTTCAGCTAGTTGTGCCAAACATACCCATAACTAGCTGAAAAGATACTTTTATGAACTTTTTAGTAACGGTTAGCTTTTAGTGACTGAAAAGATCTTAAAATAAAAAAGTGGTAGCTGTTTGATAAAAAATTGACTTTTTTATTTAGTTTTGTTTGGCATACAAGCTGTTTGGACTAATTAATGCTAAAAGCTACCGATTTTTTCCAGATGCTACTCACTGTAGCATCTCAAAAAAGATCTTTTATTTTCACAAAAGCTCTTAAAAATTGTCATGTCAAACATTCAACTAGAAGCTTTTAAAGACTTTTCAAATAGTATAAAAGCCAGAAGGTAGGAACTTATGCCTACCAAACATACTCATAATACCATATTGTCATTTCACGACTGACTATATCTCATTTCATTATTTCTGGTTCAATGAATTTTAGCCAACTTATTCGCCAAAGGTGTAACTTTCAATTTCGCGCGGTGAAATGTGTAGTAATCAAGACAACTAAGGTGAGACTTAACCTTTTTCAGTTGAATTGACTGGACGTATCGTGACAATTTTAGCTATTTTTTCATATAATTTTCTCTAAATTTTATTAATAATTTTTTAACTTTTTTAAATCAACCAATTTGACTGCTTCAGCTAGAATTTCATTAATTTCAAAAGATTAAGCTGATTAAGACAATTCCAATATTGTCAAAGAGGCTCTTGAAGTTTATATACTCCTTCTGTCCCTCAAAGTTTGTCATAGTTTGACTTCACAAGTTTTAAGGAGATGAATTAGACTTTACACTGTAGCGACACTGTTTCACACTTTAGCGACACTGTTTGGCACTGTTTGGCACTGTTTTGACACTGTTTGATATAGATTTGTTTACCAAATAAGGAAGTTGAAAAAGTAAGACAAACATTTTGGGACATCCATTTCGCGAAAGTGTGACAAACTTTAAGGGACGGAGGGAGTATTTAACTACAATAGATGTTTTGGAAAAATCATATCTGAAAATGATCACTAATTATACTCAAAATTAATGAATAAAATGATAAGGCAGTCAAATGATCTTCTGAAATATATTGCGCTGTCTAACTGCGTAGTTATCTTCAAAATTTCATTTGACTGTCTTACCGATTTAATTTTTAGCTGAAATTTGGTATGAATAAACTAGACTTAATGAAGAAGATATAACAAAAATTCATTAAAAAATTACACCGGAAACCGCCCCAAATGGCGACGGCCGGACAGAGCCTCCTATAAAAGGGCTTATTCGCTCTTTTTATGAAAGTTCGAGGGCTTATTTGATAGTTCTCCCTTAATTAAAACATTTCAAAAACTACAACGTTATATTTGTCCAAACACACATAAATAGTCCTATTGGGGGAATTTTAAAAGATGTAGTCCTATTTGTGCAATTTTTCCACTTTGTAGTCCTATTTAGGTAATTGACTCTTTTTACTAGGACTGTTATCAGTCCAGGATCAGACATGTTTAGACTTAATTAGTTTTAAAATACATAGAGACCAGACATTTATCAGATCAGACCAAACCAACATATTTCAGTCCAAGTAAAACATTCTGACGGTCCCTCTGAAATACATTAATTGTCACATAGAGCCTGTTGGAATGTACTCCCTTCGTCCTATAATTGTCCCATTTTTTCATTTTTGGATGTTCCTTTATTCTTGTCTCATACCATATTTGTTAACATTTGTGTGACTCTAATTCATTCTTACTTTATTTCCACTTTATCAACTCATTACCAACCACATAATTCTACTTTTTTTAGAAACCACACCACACCCTTCCGTACCAATATTAGGGGGACGGAGGGAGTATCAAATAAATGTCGCATCTTCATAGGGATTCGCTTAACTCGTCTATTGGATTTGTGATGATGGAGCTCTCAATCGAGGTCTATGGTGGATTTCGCAATTGACGGGGACGAAAGGGCATCTCAACCCTAGATTTGACTCATGTTTCTCCTTTTCTTCTTTTTCTTATGGAGTATACACGTTGTTTTATTGATGAGTATACGCAGATAAAAAGTTGAGCACAGTAGAGATTTAAATGAGCTTTTTTGAATTGTCCGATGCTCATTTCGCAATTTGTTTATGCTCATTTGGTATTGCTGTAAACTAATTTTAAAATGACATATTCATGTATATTTCAAAAGTATAATATTACATCTAATTTATATATTAGACTCATACGGATTCAAATTTAATGCCCAAAACCAATGAGCATACACAAATGCGCTTTTGATTTTTTTATACTCATTTTGTAAATTATGGATGCTCATTTGGTACTGCTTTTAGACTCATTTTAAAATGTTGCACATATAAAAAATATCATACTACATTAGATTCATGTATTGAAATTAATTATAAACATAATTTGAGATTATTTTATAAACAAAAAATAATAAAAAGAAACTGAATAAGAAGATATGGAGCAGAGATCATTGGTGCTCACTGTTGTACTCCTAATACTCAAAAGAACATACCTGATGCTCATCCAACTTACATCAATGCTCATTTAAGAGAAATCATTATTTTCACCAAAATTACAAAACTACCACTGGCTGTACGGTTGGTACCTACCGTTGGTTCATTTGGTTGTACCATATACGCTTCCAACTTATGCATAAAACAGAATATATGCAGCAACGTATAGTTGAACAGAATGGAATTTTAAGTGATCTGTGTTCAAGGCTTCTAACAATTAGAATCGTTTAATAATGAAATTGCATGGTTTCTTTCACTTTCACAGCTCTAACAATTAGAATCGTTTAATAATGAAATTGCAACAGTTGCCTATATTAAACCAAGAATATCTATTTATAATACAATTATAATAATCACAAACATTGAACATTGGATTCAGGTTTATAGATAATCACTCTCCTTCTTAGGTTTCTACCGGAATGTTAATTGTTTTATATAGTGAATGGGGTTGAGTTATATTTCCAGATTTGCACTATCCATAAACCATATATATATATATAGATCATACAATTTCTATGTATGTAACTAATGTAAGCAAAAAGGGGTTGCAGTCCACACCACTAGACATTTTGTATTAGCTAGACTTAATGAATTATATAAAATTGAGTATAAAAATTTTCAATAATATAAAACATGTACTAAAGACTAAAGAGCATAGTAAAAAAGAACCTGCAAACCAACGGTGGGACAGAGTACTACACTAAACCTAAACATCAACCCTTACTACCTCTGTTTAGAAGAGGCTGTCTATGCACCATTGTTTTATAATCTGAGCTTGCATGGCTTCAAAAGAGGCTCGAACTGGTTGGCATAACTTGCTTAGATCTTAGTTCATGATGTCTTGCCTCCTTTGTTCTTTTAACTTCATTGGATATTTGCATGAGCTTCCACCTTAAATTTTTGAGCATTTTCTTTCAGTTCTATCTCTTTTTTCATCACTTGCTCTTTTAGTTGAAGTTCTTTTTCATCCTTCTCTTTTTTCAACTCCAATCTCGTAATATTGAAATCGACTTGTTTATCCAAAGTACTTTGGATCTTATTCAATGCATCCACAATGCTGTTTTGTCCATTGAGCTTTCTTTTTTTCTCCTTACAAGCTTTCCTTCCTTGTGGACGCACAACACCTTCCTGGTAGGGCTGGGTCCGGAAAACCGAAAATCGAAATCGAATCAAAAAATAACCGAACCGCAACAAAAAACAACCGAATCGAGAAAAAACCGAAACTGAAAGGGAAAACCGAATCGAACCGTTTCTATTCGGTTTCGGTTTCGGCTCTCCAGAATCGAACCGAAAAACCGAAACATTAAAAACTAAGTATTTTATTCATACACTTGGGCTTTTGTTCGACATTGGGCTCAATTAGTGGCTGAACAAGTTACGATCTTCTAACTTTTTCACCATGCAGTTTAGCAGGATGGATTGAGAGCTCATTACCTTATCTTTTTTGCTAGTTATTTTCACTGGACTATGTTGCTTACTGGTTTTTATCAGCTTGTTCATGCTGAAATTTGTACTACTTTTTAATATTGTATGGCAGACTAGCTTAACTACCTACTTTTAGTTGTTTTTAAAATGGAGCTCATGCTTGGTGACTGCTTTACATGTTAAAACGATGTTTTTGAGAATGGCGGTGTTCATTTAGTTGTCTGCTACTTTAATGTGTTTTCAATTACTCCGTATTAGATTAAATTACTAAATTTGCACGCCAATTGTTCCTCCTCTTATTTTCATACATGGATTTTGGTTAAAAAAAACCCGAATAAAAACCGAAACCAAACCGAAACCAACCGAACCAACCAAACCGTGGTTGGATATTTTTATCAAAGAAACCGAACCGAACCGAACATTTCACTTTGGTTTTGTGTTTGGTTTTAGGTCAAAACCGAACCGAAGCAACCGAACCCACCCCTACTTCCTGGTTAATGTTTTCAGGTGAAACTTGATCATTGATGATACTAGCTGGAGAGTCATCTACCGGTGGAGAATTACTTTGACCAGAGTTTCCTTTAGCTTGTACGCCAGTCCTAGTAAGATTATAGTAGAACACCACTTTGGATTCTTGGCCAAAATTGTCCAACAATGGAGGTATTTAAAATGAGTCCGATAAAAATCTTTGTATAACTCCAATGTCTTCCTTAGCTACAGAAAACAAAATATATATATATATATATATATATATATATATATATATATATATATATATATATGAAATTCATAAAGTATTTTAAATCTAAATACAAGATAATGCTCTTACCAAATCCTCTGAGCTGGTACCACTTTTTGGATATCTTTCTAGTTGTTCATATTTTGCAACAAACTTGGATACTGCACCTAGAATCTGGAACCAATGACATTGTATGATGTTATTATTTATAGCTTTTTTATGTCCATGTCTGATTTTCTCCTTCCAGACTTGTAGTATACGATTCCACATAGCTGGATTCTTTTGATTAGTTCCCACATCAGCATTCGTAGATATATGCAACCATGCCTCTGTTAATGCAATCTCCTCTTTTGATGTCCAGTCATTCTTAAGTTTAGCAACACAAGGGGCATTAGGATCTTGAATGCGTTTTACCCTCTTAGTTGATCCATTCATGGTCTCACAATTCTGAGTAGCGGTAGGAGTATTCATCATATTTTGAAAGGAGAATCCAGGCATATTTTGTTGACCAATATGAATAGCATTACTTTGATCAAATCGATACATAGGCTGCACTAATGCTAGAAAATGAAAGATTAACATTGTCGTGTGAGTCCATTATTAGGTGTTGTAATACTTCCTACGGATCACCAACACTCCCTAAAAAAGAGTTTATCTTAGAGACATAAATATGACAGAGAAGGACAACAATTGTGTAAAAAGAAGAATCGCAGAAAACATATGAAAACCACTTGCTATCAGCTTCAATCATTAGCAAAATTTATAAAGGATTTTTGAAGTTATAACAAAGCAAAATGTACACAGTAATTAATAAATTCATTGGATGCTCTTTAAGCAACATATGCAAATTCAAACACTTGGAGAAACATAGAGAGTAGACCGGGTAGCTAGTGAATAAATTGTCACATTACATTTTCCATCTCAAATACAAAAAAGAGTGATAAATATAGGACATCTTGTTTCATCTTGTATTAACCAGATAAACACTCTTCCTAAAGGAATAATGATAAATACTAAGTTCAAAAAACACCTCCATATACCTGGTCAATGCCGCCACAGAAGCAGAATACTCCTTTTAGTTTTGATTTTCGGACTCCTGGGAGTGGGGTAGGAAAGAAAAATTGAATAGGATGGGAAAAGCATTTCTAGCCTCCCAGATATGGCCGAAGACGATTATATTATATTGTCGGCTTCTCTATCAAATATAATTGGCGGTATTTTTTTACCATCTGGGGAGTTTTTACGGAGCATTAATTTCCTGACTCAGGCCGTATAACTGGCTTTTTAGAATGGGAAAGTAGGTTTGACATTAAGTTGTGGCTCATTAAATTGGAGCAAAAAAAATGAAACACTTTCGCAGGACATTACGTGGCTCATTTTTTTTTACTGTTAAAAGCACCCCATTGGAGATGCTCTAATGCATAAAAATATTAATAATATAGTAGTTTTTATATTTTAGCTAATAAACACATTTTAGCCTCGAGCAAAGAAAGAAGAGCAAGAGGCGACAACCGGCTCCAGGGAAACCTAGGCGGCAAGCCCTTAGATGATCCTCCTAAACGATTCAATCTCCTAGCTTTCTTCTCTCCGATTAGAAAGAGTTTTCAACGATGATGGTGACATCTGGGTAGTAATGAAATCGAAGAGTTTCCGCTGCCGCTCTTTTTTTATTTCTACCTTTTAAAGTTGAGTTGGACTTGGGGTACACACTTTTGGTGTACACACTTTTTACACATGTTTGTGTAAGATGGTGGTGACATCTGGGTAGCAATCAGGAGTACTAGACTCATTCACCAGAGGGGCAGTAGTGGTCTGGATGGGCTCCACCTCACTAGGAGAGGTGCCATCATGCACAGTTTGAGGGTCAGTCACATTTTGAACTAAGCAGGGAAAGTCACTTTCATTGAATACAACATTTCTGCTTATGATGACCTTAAAACCACTCTGGTTCCTATCCCAGATCCTATATCCTTTAACACCTTCAGGATATCCTAAGAAAATGCATTTCTTAGACCTAGGGTCCAACTTATCAGACTGTTGATGTACATAGGCAGCACACCCAAACACTTTTAAGTTTGACAAGTTCAGGGGTTTCTTAGAGAAGACAGACTCAGGACACTTACCTTCTAAAGGCACAGAGGGGGGTCTGTTTATCAGGTAGGTGGCAGTATTGACAGCTTCTCCCCAAAACTTCTTGGGGAGGCCAGAAGTGGCAAGCATGCTCCTAACTTTGTCTAGGAGGGTCCTATTCATTCTCTCAGCTAAGCCATTCTGTTGGGGAGTATAGGGCACAGTTTTGTGTCTCCTAATCCCACTCTCAACACACAACCTATCCATATCCTTATTGCAGAATTCTAAGCCATTGTCAGTTCTAAGGGTTTTAACCTTACATCCAGTTTGATTTTCTACCATAATTTTCCATTCTTTAAACCTAACATACACATCGGATTTATGTTCTAACAAGCAGACCCAGACTTTCCTAGAAAAGTCATCAATTATGGACAGAAAATACCTCCTACCCCCATGGGTAGGGACACTGGAAGGACCCCATACATCTGCATGTATGTAGTCAAGGACAGCTTTAGACTTAGGCTCACTAGAATAGCTAGAAACAGGAAATTGAACCCTATGTTGTTTACCTAGGACACAACCCTCACAGAAAGGTATGGGTGACACCAAGTCATTGCCAAAACATCCAGTTTGTTTCAAAATATTCAATCCTTTATTACTCATGTGACCCAGTCTTTGGTGCCAAAGCACAGACTTGTCACTGAGTACAGCATTAGCATTTTCAGAAAAAGGTTTGGCATGCACAACATAAAGGTTATTTTGTTTCAAGGCTTTAAACAAAACAAGGGAGTTTTTCAAAATCTTCATACACCCATTTCCCCATTTACCCTCAAGATCACATTCTTCAAAAACAGAAACAGAAAGCAAGTTGTGCCTAAGATCAGGGACATGTCTAACATTTTTTAATTTGAAAACAGTTCCATTTTCAAACTTAAGACTTATGTCACCCACACCATGGACCTTACACTTCTTATTGTCAGCTAAGGACACATAACCAGAATCACAAGCACTATAAGAAGCAAACAGATTTTTAAAAGGAGTCATGTGGTAGGTACAACCTGAATCTATTAACCATTCAAATTCAGTTAAGTTGCTTAGGGCAGAATTAGCATGATCACAGATCATGAACACTTCTTCACTAATCTCCTTATCAGTCACAGAGTTGGCCTGTTCATTTCTTTTGGGTTGGGTACAATCTTTGATGAAATGATCTGGGTTCCCACAGTTATAACACACTCTTTTCTTAGACTTATGTCTTTTCTTGCTAGGTTGTCTGCCATTCTTATCCTGATTGTCCTTTTTAGGGTGTTTAGACCTACTTTTAGATCTTCCCCTAACAACCAAAGCTTCCCCAGATTCCCTATGATGGTTCCTAGAATGTTTTAAGTCAAGTTCTTTACTTCTCAGGCCATTAATAACAATATCAAGGGTTATGTCATCCCTCCCATATTTTATGGCAGACTTAACATCATTATAGGAATCGGGTATAACATTTAATAAGACTATGGCAGTGTAGTCATCTATATGTTTATCCCCAGCCTGCTTAATGTTTTGGATTAGCTTGTTAAAAATATCTAGGTTTTCATCAATATCTTTTGTTAGGTCAAGCCTAAACCTAAAAAACTTTTCCAACAAAAACAGTTTGCCAGGAAGGGAAGTATCAGTATATAGAGACTCAAGTTTATCCCAGAGGTCTTTAGCAGACTCAATGACTCCAACCTTTCTAAGGACAGAGTCAGACAAGTTTAAATATATGGTTGAGCAGGCTATTTCATTCATTTCAACTTGTTTAGGTTTTTCCTCAGTTTCTAAGTATTGCCCAGTAATAGCTCTATGAACTTTCTGTTGTATTAACACACATTTTAGTTTTTGTTTCCAAATATCAAAGTCAGTCTTACCATTAAAAGGCATCATACCATACTGGTTTGAAGCCATGATAACAGTCAAGCACACACAATTAATGAGCCAACTGTAATGCAGGAGCCTAGCCCTAGAAGGTTAGACTGCGGACTAAGGGACCACGCAGATCCGGGGCCACAGAGGTGGCTGGCAGGGAATCCCCTAGCCCTAACCTCAGGTGCCTTAGCCAACTAGGGTTTCACAGCCACAGTATTACAATGGATCAAAAATTATCAACACAGGTAACAAAAACAATACTGGAAGCAGATAACAATAACAACAACAGAGGACTGGCAAACAAGTAGAAAACACAAAGGTGCTCAGATAATATTACAGACAACTGTGGGCTAAGTTCGACACAGATTAGCACCACGCATGCACTAGTTCAACAACCTAGGGTTTCTGCAGACCTGTCTTAGACAGAATCTACACATGCAACGGATAAAAGAACTTGCGTTTCTAACCGGCAGCTCCTCAACCTAGGGTTTCAGAACTACCCATGCATCACAGAAGCCGGTGGCACTCCGGCAGCCCAAGATAGGGTTTAAGCTAATATACCTGAGCGGGAGTCTAGATTAGACTTCCCGACTTACCAATCCGAGGAGGAGCCTATGCGTTACCAGTTTTGGGGAAGTACTTCCGGCGAGTCTCCGGCGTCGGTGAGAGGAGGCAGCTTCCAGCTCTGATACCACTGTAGAGTTACTGGACCGGCTCAGACCTCAATCACCATAGCCCAAGGGCTAGCTCACCATTCACCACCAAGGAGTCAACAAGGGAAACCAGAGGGCATCTAGTCTCAAACGCTCAGTTTAGTGCCCAACCCTCCCAAACCAGACTGCCCAGAGAAAACCCACCAGAGAAGAAACCCCCCACAAGACTACCAGTACAGAGTGAAGCCCACAGAAGGACCCCAAAGGTATCACCGGAGGGTAGCCAGAGCTCAAACCCTAGATGATACCAGCACTCTCTCACTCTAGAACTGGGGTAACCGGAAAGACCTCTCATCGGATAGAGAGAGGAAGGGGACGATCAAATAGTGGATTCCAGAAGGAAAAGGACAATATAAGGTAAGGGCCACAGAGACATGGGCTTGGGCAAAGACAAAAGGAGGGCAAGTGGGCTAAGTCAGGCGGACAGCCCAAACGGGCCAGGAGGATAAGATTAGCAGACAGCTCATTATATGGGATGGACCAAGGGCCAGTGAGGTGGACCAATACCAACTCACAGTGACATCTGGGTAGTAATGAAATCGAAGAGTTTCCGCTGCCGCTCTTTTTTTATTTCTACCTTTTAAAGTTGAGTTGGACTTGGGGTACACACTTTTGGCGTACACACTTTTTACACATGTCTGTGTAAGGTTTTTTTTATGTCTGTACAGACATAACGATACGTTATGTCTGTACAGACATAAAAAAAACCTTACACAGACATGTGTAAAAAGTGTGTACACCAAAAAGTATGTACCTTTAGAATTTTTCTTTAAAGTTTTGGTGCTATGTTGCAAGAACCGGATCGATGAGCGACCCGAACAAATAATCGGACGCGGCGTGTCAACTCGGACCCGATGGATCAACCCGGTTAATGCTAGGAAAAGCCGGTCAACATTTATAATTTATTATATAAATATAAATATTATAATAAAAATTAAAATAAAAGGTATTTTTTATGACAATCAAATAATTATAATACTAGTAAGCATCGAAAGCACACTCATAATAATATCCTAAAATACAATTAGTCCTACTTCCAAGTTCCAACAATAATATTATTTCATTTGGTTTATCCGCATTTATTAATTAATTGGTAAAATAATTTTGACATGATTCTCTTTTCGGAATAATAGTTAAGTATATCACACACACACAAAATATCACACTTTAAAAAAAAATGAAAACAGTTATACTTGTTAGAAAATCTTAAAAACATCATGTATGTACACATAATCGCTACTACAATAACAACAATAGTATTGTTGGGATAATATGCCAGGCCCAGTTCCATCGGCCTGTTATCCCCGAGCTTTGGCCCAACTAGGCCCAAGACGCAGTCTCACGAGCGGGAATCACCCCTTGCTCATTTACTTATTTATCGGACCGGTTCGCCCATTAGCTTGGACATGTATTATGTATTTGGGCCAAGCCCACGTAGATTAGACTTTGGACTTGTGATGGATGCCTATAAATAGGCCATCACCCCCTTGTATTCTGGACGCTATTTTTAC